CATCCAGGCTCTCTATTTCTCTCTCTTTTATTTATTTAATCGGACCTTCTCACCTTTTCTGTCTATCTATTCTAATTCCTAACCATGTTTACACGCAAAACCCACCCCTACTTTTATCTCTGCTCCATGTCCTTCTCCGCCTCTCTCTCTCTCCCTCTCTCCTCTCTCTCTCTCTCTCACTCTCTCTCTTCTTCTCTCTCTCTTTCTCTCTCTCTCTCTCTCTCTCTCTGCTCTGTCTGTTCTCATTTATCGCGATCTCCAGCTCTTTCATTTTCTCATCTCTTTAGTTATTTAATCGAGACCTTCTCCACTTTCTGATCTTAATATCTAATTCCCTACCATTTACACGCCACCCACCCCCTACTTTATTCTTCTGCTCATGGCTCCTTCTATCTCTCTCTCTCTCGCTTTTTCTTTCTTTTTCTTCTTCTCCTCTCTCTCTCTCTCTCTCTCTCTCTTCTCTCTCTCTCTCTCTTCTCTCTCTCTCTTCTCTCTCGCTTCTCTTTATCGTCTATCTCTAGCGTCTCTCAATTTTCTCTTCTTTATTATTTATCGGACTTTCTCCACTTCTGATCTATCTGAATCTAATTACCTAACCATTTACTGCCAACCCACCCCTACTTTATATCTCTGACCTCGCGTGCCTACCTTCTCACTTCTCTCTCTCTCTAAACTCTCTCTCTCTCTCCTCTCTCTCTCTCTCTCTCTCGCTCTCTCGCGCGCGCGCACTCTGCCTCTCTTTCTGGCCCATACTCCCTCTCCTGCCTCGCTATGCCGGTCTCTCTCTGCTCAGTATCTAATAACTCCACACTTCAAAAAACACAAATCGTATAATAGATTGGCACACGTCATCATCGCTGCAGCATTACGAAATGCAAAGGAAATGGTTTCAAAACCTCGTCAACTCTCGCCGGCGCGCGCACACACACACACATACACACACGCACGCACGCAGGCACGCACGCGCGCACACGTGGCGCGTCTCTGCGAGCGTCCTACCTCATCACCGTCCGCCCGCGCCCGACACAACGCTATACATCTCAATTATTTCAGTTAATGGAAACAAAATTGCGCGCCGGCATCTCGGCGACTATTGAGACGCGCGTGTGTAATCATGCGTCGTCAATGACGCGGCTGCGGGCGCCTCTGCTGCGCCGGCGCCGAATTATGCGGCGCGCATGTGCCGTCGGCCATTGTTTGCGCTAGATTGTTATTTGTAACAAGAGCGATAATAGCGCCTGCATCAATAAAGAACCGAATCGAGCCGCGGCCCAATAGAGTCTCTCATGAAACTCGCCAAGTGCAAAATATGACGTGCGTATCAAATACAGCACGATAAAATTTTACAGTAGTTTTGCGTTATACTCGTCAGTGCATTTCAACTCGCTCTGAATATTAAATTAAAGAGCGGTAACAAGCGCAATTTAAAAACAAAGCAAGGGCAGCGGGAGCAAGCAATAAAGTACGCAAATGGAACAGCGAGAGAATATCTATCAGCAGGAAGGTTATCTTACGTCACGATGAAGCGTCATCAAGCAGCTTATAAAGGTATTACGAACGCATTGTTTGTTCTCTGTTAGAGCCTCTAAACATCAAACACAAACGCAAATTTCAACAACTTTCATCCTTGACGCACCACGCATATTAAACCTTACACCGCATTAAATCCCACTCCGTCATTGCACAGTTTTTTTGCCACTAGACTGCTTCATCATCCCTGTGGCGGGTTTAGGCTGCATAGGTTTACCGACTATTGGACCAGTCTACGTATGGCTGGCTATTTGAAACGGGTGATTCAACAGCGATTAGAGCGAATGCAACGCAACCCATGATTACGACGGTTAGTTACACCGTCTGATGCGGCCATAACGTCGCTTTGATGAGAAAATGACAAAGCCTAGCGTCTCACAACTCACCGTCGACCGTGACGGAGACGTTGCCGCTGTACTGCGCTTGTCCTAGCTGTGGGTTCAGCGCCTCCATGCTGTAGACCCCTGCATCTGTCGCCCCGACGTCCAATATCACAAGCGCATTCTGAAGCGAGAGCAAGTAAACCAACTAAATAAAGTAACCTTTAAAAGAAACCATCGATTAGAAGCAAAAGCAGGTAAACCATGCATGCATTTCATTCTTTATCAAAATTCTACACGGGCGTCATTACATTAATGTAATATTATTGCATTTCACAATTTTGATATCGAAAGAAAGTACGAAAACCATGCCGTATTCAATTCATTGTCTCAAAATCTTAAGTTTGTTTCAATTATACCTTTGTATAAGTATAATTTTATCAGGATTCAATAAAAACATTTCACTACTTATATTATTACATTTCAAAAATTCAATTTCGAGAGCAAGTATTAAAATCATGCTGTACATTTCAATCTTCAAATCTAGATTGTACACTATTTGGTGCTATTCTCCTCATATACATAAGTTTTATAAATATTGTAAAATGTTAGATTTCACAATTAACTTGTTGCTACCATATTAATTATATGGTTTCAATTATATTCATATTTAATCGCGACCTTGACCCCCGACCAAATACATTCAAGGTCTGGCGTCTCACCTGTAATGTCACGATGTGTTTCCGTCTCGTAAAGCTAAATATGAACTCTCCATCGCCGATCCACGTGACCTCAGACTCTGGGTAGCTGTCAATAGGTGGCGGCTCTATCACGAGCGCGTCGCCTGCCTTCGCAGAGAGCAGTGCCCTCTGTACCGCCGCGATAGGCTGGATATCTGTAACAGACAGTAGAGTCGTCAACCAGCGGCGGTGGCGATAGTGGCGGCGGAGACGGCAGCGGAGACATAGAGAGACGGCAGCGGCGGTAGCGGTGGCGGCAGTGGTGGTGGTGGCGAAAACGGCAGCAGAGGCGGCAGCATCAGCAGAGACGGCAGCGGCGGTAGCGGTGGCGGCAGTGGTGGTGGTGGCGAAGACGGCAGCAGAGGCGGCAGCAGCAGCAGAGACGGCGGCGGTGGCGGCAGCGGTGGCAGCAACAGCAGGAGCGGTGGCGGCAGCGGAGGCAGCGTGAGATATCCACACGGCATTACTGTCAAAGTCCATGAGCTAATTGGCTGTTGTGTTACGCTCACTCTATCCGTGCCCCGCATCTCAATATAAAAAAATCCCCAGAACAAGTGTCGTAATGCTGACTATTTTTATCCTCGAAAAGAACGTAATGACGTGGTACTCTGCTAACAGCACTAGGTATATTCGATTTCATCCGCATTATCTTCTCGGGCGATAGACTCGTAACTAGATACGTTTAGAGCGGCGGCGGTAAACATATTAGCGTTGATGCATAATCTCGATTAAGCCCTAATAGGATTGTCTGAAGGAAAACTCTCCCAGTATAGCTCTCATTCGAAGAACGCAATTTTTCCCGTTTTTTTTTAGTGAATGACAATCGGGGACACCGCTGTAACACCGGCAGGGCTGCGACCTTTCTATTAACGAACGGTTAGCGACGTCGTTAACGGGAAATAACCCAATCACGGGGGCGGGCGCACCTACCCCTAAACGAATCCAAACACCCACATCACCGACGAAGGGAAGAGGAGTAACAAACCATCATAACTACGACGCCAACGCAAGACATCTAGCCAAGCATGCTTCTACCCCCGCCAAGCAGAACCTCAGCCCTGGAGGGTTGCAGCCGTGTTAACCTATGTACATGCCCTCCATCCTACATCCGTGGTGGATTACTCGCAGAGACAGGTCAATACGCATTATCACGCAAGAACGCAACTGGAAAGCTGATTTAGTGCCAGCTAGCATTACGCAAATGTCTCGTCCATCACTATCAAACGGGCACAGCTAGCGGGAGACACTGGTTGAATTGCAGGTGCATTGTGGAGAGTTGGTAATAGCAAAATTAATAGTACATGATATATTTATCGCTGTGCAAATGTCCTCCTAAGGAATTGTGTACTGGAAGAAACCACGGCAGAACAGAAAGAAGAAGAAGGAGAAGACGAGGAGACGGAGGAAGAGGAGGAGGAGGAGGAGGAGGAAGAGAAGACGAAGAAAAAGCAGTAACTGGGCCATATTACACGAAAATTGCCTACAATTATAAAATGCCCCCCACCTTATACATCCTAAATAAAATCTTGATTATTATTATTAACTTATTGAATTGGCAGTGAACATAGTTAGTAGAAGACGGGTACTCTAAGCCACGCAGACAGTGAACATAGTTAGTAGAAGACGGGTACTCCAAGCCACGCGGACAGTGATCATAGTTAGTATAAGACAGGTACTCCAAGCCATGCGGACAGTGAACATAGTTAGTATAAGACAGGTACTCCAAGCCATGCGGACAGTGATCATAGTTATAGTATAAGACAGGGCTTACTCCAAAGCCACCGCGGGGACCAGCTGAAACATAGTTGAGTATTTAAGACAGGTACCCAACCCACGCGGACAGTGAAAAACATTAGTTAGCTAGAAGACGGGTACTCCAAGCCACGCCGGCACATGATCATGATAGTCTAGTATAAGGACAGACTCCAACCATCGCGGACAGTGAACATAGTTAGATAAGACAGAGTACTCCAAGCCAGCGGACGGAGCTTGATCATAGTTATCAGTATAAGACAGGTACTCCAAGCCACGCGGACAGTAATTCCATTAGTTAGTATAAGACAGGTACTCCAAGCCACGCGGACACGTGAACATAGTTAGTAGAAGCACGGGTACCTCCAAAGCCACGCCGACAGCTGATCATAGTTAGCTTATAAGACAGGCTACGTCTAAGCCTATGCCGCGGACAGTAAACGATAGCTTAGTTATTAAGCACAGGTACTCCAAGCCGCAATGCGGAACAGCTGATCATAAGTTATACTATAAGACAGGAGTACTCCAAGCCCCACGCGGACAGTGATTATAGTTAGTTATAAGACAGTACTCCAACCATGCGGACAGTGCAACATATTAGTAGAAAGACGTTACTCCAAGCCACGCGGACAGTGAACATAGTAGTAATAAAGACAGCGAGCGTACATCCAATTAAGCTACCGGACACTGATCATACGTTAAGTACTATAAGCACGGTACACCAAGCCAACGCGGACAAGCTGATCATAGCAAGTATAAGACAGGTACCCAAGCCATGCGCTACAGTGCATCATAGTTAGTATAAGGCACAGTACTCCAAAGCCACGACGCGACAGTGATTCATACTTAGTCATAAGGGGACAGTTACTCCAAGCCATGCAGACAGTGATCACAATAGTTAGTTTTAGAATCGCGGGTACTTAACAAGCCACCGCGGACATCGACCCGTAGTTAGCTGAGGACGGAGCCACTACGCACTGCTTGAGGCCGGTGGGCGATGCAGCTATAATCCATCCCACATCCTGGTTACTAGCAGACACGGAGTCTGGGTATGAGAAGAGGTGGTGGGGTGTGAGGGCTTCTGGATGGGGGGGAGGGGGGGGGGGGTCGGAGCCTGAGGGGGGGTGAGGCAGCATCGAGTCTGGTGGTAGAGGGTCCAGGCGCTGCGAGAGAGGAGGAACGAGGCGGGTGAGGGGGAGGCGAGGGGTGGAGGTTTCGGAGTCGGGGAGGGGGGGCGAGCGTTAGTGGGAGGGGGTCGGAGGCGGAGAGGTGGGGACGCGAGGGGTGTGTGGGGGTGGGGAGGGGGCTAAATCACGTACCGGTGGTGGGGGGGTGGGTGCTGTCACAACCAATTACAATACGCCAGTGTAGAATTTCCAAATGACTTATTTTCGCAGGTTGAGGGGGGCGGTAATCGGTCAATTCGACCTCTTTGAGGGCTGTTGATGAGAAGGGCAGAAGGAAGTGGTGTACATAAAACGCATGCACGCACACAACGCCACATGCTGTATAACAAACAATGACTGACCCCACACGCATCACGCGCACGCAAACGAAAGGGGAACGGGAGTGTGCCGGTGTGCCGGATGGAGCGCGGGGGGATGTGCAAAACGGAAAGCCTCTTGGCGTAGGCAACGTCTCGGATCGTTGTGCATCAGCAATGAGCCCATACGCTACACGTACAATGCGCTACGCCCACACATAGCATTATAAAAAGATCGAACGCAGAAAACCATGCTTCGACGTGTGAAAAATGCAAGCCATAACGCCACACATAGTCCGTTCAGTAATGGTCGGGTGGATGCAGCGCAGGGGGCAAAGGGCGGTTCGATGGCGGGCGGCCGATAGAGGAGGGGGTGATGAGCGAGGTGGCAAGATGTGAGCAGTGGTCGATGCCTGAATTAGGCTTTGAATCGCCTAAATTATTCAATCAGTTATAATGCAGCTAATGCGGATAGATGCATTACTATGCATAAAAATAGTATGCAAGCCAATTATTGACGTCAAACATGCTCGGACAATATAAGTGGGGGGGCGGAAGCGGGGGGAGTTGAGTGTGAGGAAGGGGTTGTTATGGGGTCGTGCGGTAGAGGGAGGTTGAGAGCCGGCGGAGGGAGGGGGCAGGAGCTGGGGTGGGGGTCGGGGGGAACGAGATTCGCGTGGAGGGGTGGATGTGAGATTGGGGGAATGTTAACGAGGGAGAGAGTTTCGGGCCGTAGGCGGGGAGAGAAAGGGGGAGATTCTGGTGTTTGGTAGAAAGTGGCCTGAAATGGGAGGACTAAGAGGAGAAGACGCCAAAACACACGAGAACACACGTGCATACGCACAGGAGGGCGGGCGAGCGCAGAGCGGGGGACAGCGGTGAGAGGGCGCGGACGAGCGGGGATGCAGGCACGGGGACGCAGGCGGGCGGGGAGCGGCGGGGCGGGAGCGACGGGGACGACGTACAAAAGCGCACATGCACGGGGCGGACGACTCATCGGACGCGGAGGAACATGGCGGGATAATATACAACTTACAGAAACGCCACGTATTAGACGTACGCACGCACACAGCCGCACACACACACACACAGACACACCGCACCACCACACCACATGTACAACGCAACACGCACAGACACACGCACTCATGCACGCACGGCGCGCGTGCGGCTGCGCGTGCACATACTGCTGGCCATGCCCATGGCACGCACACGATACACGCCACATAATATCTGGTTTCGCATTGCATCCACTGAATACTGAATCCGGCTGCGGGTAACTCCGCTCGCTCTAGCAGGCAATATCTTTTGTACTCCTTCGGAACAATGCGCACCTGTTGGCTGTATCTGGCACTGTGTGGTGGCTTCATGAAGAAAACAGAATGCGCGTGTATAGGACCTGTCCTGAGTTAAATGGCAGGACATCACACTATATTACGATTGACTGCGCGCACTAACGTACTATTCGCACCGGCCTCTACTGTCGCCTGTCTCGCCCCCTCCCTCTCTCTCTCTGCCTCTCTCTCTCCTCTCTCTCTCTCTCTCTCTCTCTCTCTCCCTCTTTCTCCCTTGTTCTCTCTCTTTCCCTCTCTCACCCTCTTTCTCCCTTGTTCTCTCTCTTTCCCTCATAGCCTGTCTCGCCCTCTCTCTCCCGCTCGCTCTTCCCCTCTCTCTTCTCCTCTCTTCTCGGGCCCCCCCCCCTCTGTCGGCGGAATTTCCGTCACGTCATGAATCCTCGCACATCACAAAGCTAAACCTCGCATACCGGTTATTATGCCCGATGTCCTAAGCCGGCTCGCCCACTGCGCGAGATTAGTTCCGCGCGACGTAAACTAAAATAGGAGTTATTTCGCGCATAACAGCTCGGGCGGCTGGCTCGCTGCCACGTCATGCTGCGCACGTGTACATGCCGTTGCCGCCGTGTCTGCTAGCCTGCTGCACCGCTATTTGTAAATCTATCACACGACTTTCCTGTCGTTTGTTGATAAACAAGTGACATACAATTACTCGCGCTCCACTCTGAAGCACGCCGCTGGCCACCGCGTCTTGCCCCCCCTCCCTCTCGCTCCACTGCTCCACCTAGCATCACCAATGGAACATACATGACGAGCTTATAGTAATTATTATATATTTGTGTATTTATTTATTTAGTTAGTTTCTGAATTTATTTATTATTTATTTATTTAAGGCAGGGCCTGTTAGTGTTCATCGTTAGTACAACGAAACCCTGCTCTTAAAAGCGCTGTCTATAAAGAAGCAGCGAGCAGTAACGACGCCTGCTCGGCTGCGCAGCAAACAGCAAGCCAGCACGACAGCAACAGCAAGGCAAAATGCATAACAGCAACAAGCCAACAGGGCAACAGCAGCCGCAGCCAGCACCACCACAACCCAGCAGGCAGCAGGCGGGGCAGAAGGAGAAGTTAGCAGTAGCAGGAGCAGGAGGAGGAGAGGAGGAGGAGGAGGAAGGACGTGAGGGAGGAGGAGGAGGGACGTGAGGGAGGAGGGCAGGAGTGAGGAGGAGGAGGAGGCAGGAGGAGGAGGAAAGGAGTAGTAGTAGTAGTAAGAGGAGGAGGAGGGAAGGAGGCGGAGGAGTAATAGTAGTAGTAGTAAGCGGAGGAGGAGGAAGGAGGAAGGAGAGGGAAGGAGAAGGAGGAGGAAAGAAGGTAGTAGTAAGTAGTAGTAGGTAGTAGTAGCTAGCAGTAGTATAGTAGTGTCTAGTAGCTAGTAAGTAGCTAGTAGTAGTGAGTAGTAGTAGTATAGTCGTAGTACGTAAGAGGAGGAGGAGGAGGAGAGGCGGCGGAGGAGGATGATGGCAACACGAGGACGTATAATTTACATTCATGTGCCTGCGTTAGTCATGCACACTACGCCACACTCCGTCGCCCTGTTATTACATTGCAGGCGTCCGTATACGGTGGCCTGATAGATTGTCTGCTAGAGCGCCACCGCGACCTTTCCCTCTCCTCGCTCTCGTCCTTCTCTTCTCTCTCTCTCTCTCTCTCTCTCTCTCTGTCCTCTCTTCCCTCTCTCTCTCCGTACTCCTCTCTCTCTCTCTCTCTCCCTCCCTCTCTCTCTCTTCTCTCTCTATATCTCTGCTAGTCGCGTCGACACGGTCATGGTTTAGGCTCCGAGCCAAATGGGCTAGATTTTGGCTCGGCCGCTTTTGAAGTGCAGCAGGCGTTCAACACGTACCGCAAATGAATACTGTCTGTCAATTCAATAAATTCGTATTGCCACAAATATCTGCCCAGCTATATTTGGCCAGTGTGACGGCGACGCATGGCATGTGCTACGATTCAGAGGTTACTTTTCCGTTCCGAGTTCAATTATCATCTTGAAAACATGCTGTCCTGATGCAACTTTTTCGAATTTTCATACTGCTTTTGGACTTATTTCGTCGAGTACACGCTTCGACACTCGCGGCATCTACCGCTCGCCGAAAGCTGTTTGCTAAAATTTGGCTCGGTCTGCATCCGCGACGTTTATCGATGGGGACCAAATTGGCTCAGTGCCAAATTGGCACGGCCCGACAAAACCGTCCGTCGTGAACGCTCCGGCTCGCAGCCAAAATCTGCGCCGCCGGCCCTAATTACGGCTTCGGCCAAAAAAACGTCCGTGTGAACGCCCCGCCTTCTATCTCGCTCTCTCTCGGCCTCTCTCTCTCTCTCTCTCCTCTCGCTCTCTCTCCTCTCTCTCTCCGCTCTCTCTCTATCTCCTCTCTCTACTCTCTCTGCGAACTCTACGATCGCCTTCCTGCGCATAACTAACACCTAATTCCGCCGCGCAGAACAGTGACCTGCAGGCGGAGCGGAGGCGGGGGAAGGGAGGAGGATGCATGGAGCATCCCTGCCGCTCGTATCCCGCGCGCCTGTAAGACACGAGGGAAGCCATTATAAGACGTCCTAATCAATCAAATCCTCGGGAAATCCAGGCCGGACTGCGTGGGGCGGGAGCGGAGGCGGCTACGGCGGGGGAAGTCTAGACCTAGTCGGATTCCGCTTCGAATTCATGCGGAAGGCTCGCTCGTGTATTCATTCTACGCAAGACGTACATAATTCGTCGAGCATTTCAAAATTACAGCGAGCCTACGAAATAAAACGCAGCGAATAAATGCCGGCTCATGACTAGCTCATTGCTAACTCGTGCAGGCTCACGAATCATGGCCATCAGTAGCGCAGCAGTATGGCAGCGTAATAACGGCAAGACGAACGATGTGAGCAGCAACGGAGAACAGCTGACCATCCAGTCTGGCAGCATCCAGGATGAGAAAAATTGAGAAGGTAAAAGAGCGGGGAAAGGAAGAGGCCGATGAGGGGCGGGCAGCCCACAGGATAAGAAAAATATTGAGAAGATGAAGTGCGGGGGGAATATTGAGAAGGTGAAAGCACGGGAAAGGGAAGAGGCAAAGGAGGGGCGGGCAGCCCACAGGATAGGAAAAATATTGAGAAGATGAAAGAGCGGGGAAAGGAAGAGGCCGATAAGGGGCGGGCAGCCCACAGGATGAGAAAAAAAGTGAAAATGTGAAAGTGCGGGGAAAAAGAAGAGGCAGAGGACCGGGCAGCCCACACGACGGGGAAAATTGAGGTGTACGAGCGGAAGAGGAAAGAAGAGACAGCTAAAACGTTGGCAGACCACAATCTGAGGAAGGAAAAGTGGCGTAAAAACTGCAGGCGGAAGAGGAAATGCAAGCTAACAAAAGGAAACGGGAAATAAGAGAGAGAGAGAGACAGAGACAGAGACTCTCTCTCTCTCTCTCTCTTCTCGGCCCCCCCTCTGTCCGCGGAATTTCCGTCACGTCATGAATCCTCGCACATCACAAAGCTAACCATCGATACCCGGTTATAATGCCCGATGTCGCTAAGCCCGGCTCGCCACTCGCCGAGATTAGTTCCGCGACGTAAACTAAAATAGGAGTTATTTTCGCGCTAACAGCTCGGGCGCTGGCTTCGCTGCACGTCAGCTGCGCACGGTAATGCCCGTTGCCGCCGTGCTGCTGCTGCTGCTGCAGCTATTTGTAAATTATCACACGACTTTCCTGCGTTTGTTGATTAACAAGTGACAGTACAATTACTCGGCTCACTCTGAAGGCACGCCGCTGGCCAACGCGTCTGCCCCCCCCCCTCCCTCTCCCTCCCACTGCTCCACCTACATCACCAATGAACATACATGCGAGCTTATAGTATTTATATATTTGTGTATTTATTTATTTAGTTAGTTCTGAATTTATTTATTTATTTATTTATTTACAGGCAGGCCTGTTAGTGTTCATCGTTATACAACGAAACCCTCTCTTAAAACCTGTCTATAAAAGAGAGCAGCAGCAGTAACACCTGCCATGGCTGCAGCAACAGCAGCAGCACGACAGCAACAGCAACGGCAAAGCAACAGCAACAGCAACAGCAACAGCAGCCGCAGCAGCACCACCACACCACCACCGACATCATCATCATCATCATCAGCAGCAGCAGCAGCAGCAGCAGCAGCAGCAGTAGTAGTAGTAGTAGTAGTAGTAGTAGTAGTAGTAGTAGTAGTAGTAGTAGTAAGAGGAGGAGGAGGAGGGGAGAAGGTGATGTAGTAAGAGGAGGAGAAGGAGGAGGAAAGAAGTAGTAGTAGTAGTAGTAGTAGTAGTAGTAGTAGTAGTAGTAGTAGTAGTAGTAGTAGTAGTAGTAAGAGGAGGAGGAGGAGGGAAGGAGGCGGAGGAGGATGATGGCAACGAGGACGGTAATTTACATTCATTGCCTGCGTTCGTCATGCCACACACGCCACACTCCCGTCGGCCTGTTTATTACATTTGCAGCGTCGTTAGGTGGCCTGATAGATTTGTCTGCTAGGCGCACTCATAGTTAGTATAAGACAGGTACTCCAAGCCACGCGGACAGTGATCATAGTTAGTATAAGACAGGTACTCCAAGCCATGCAGACAGTGATCACATAGTTAGTAGAATACGGGTACTTACAAGCCACGCGGACATCGCCCGTGTTGCTGAGGACGGAGCCTACACTGTTGCGGGCGATGCAGCTATAATCTCCCACATCCTGTTTACTAGCAGACACTATCTTATAGAAATTGTTACTGCTGAAGTCACCTAGGTACACATCATCTTTAATCCACCTGCAAAACACGGTGAGACAGTGTGAGGGACTATGGTCACGAAGGTGGGACGCATGTTGGTAATCACGTACGCTTGTCACAAGCAATTACAATCGCCAGTGTAGAATTTTCAATGACTTCATTTCAGTTTGAGGTAATCGGTCAATTCGACTCTTTTGAGTTTGATGAGAAGGCAAATGTGTACATAAACATGCACGCACACACGCACATGTGTATACAAACATGCACTGACCCACACGCATACGCGCACGCAACTAAAACATTGCCTTCCATACGCATGTGCAAAACGAATCCTCTTCGTAGCAACGTCTCGGATCGTTGTGCATAGCAATGAGCATACGTACACGTACAATCGTACGCACACATAGATTTATAAAAGATTCGAACGCAGAAAACATGTTCGACGTGTGAAATGAAGCATAAGCCACACTAGTCTCGTTCATAATTCGTGTGGCATGCACAGGCAAAGTGCGTTCATGCCTGCATAAATTATACATGCAAATGTGACAGTGAGCGTGAATTTTAGGTTTGAATCGCTAAATTATTCATCAGTATAATGCAGCTATGCCGATAGATGATTACTATGCATAAAAATAGTGAAGCCAATTTGAGTCAACATGCTCGGGACAGTAAAGTGAGCATTGATAAATTTTAGTCGCTAAATTGAAGCAGACTTGTCGAAAAATTTGTATATGTAATGTAATTTATACAAATTTCCCTACAGAGAAGATATTCTGTTTAAAATGCCTATGAGACTAAGAGAACGCAAACACACAAACACACGTGCATACGCACACGCACGCACACACGTAAGCACACATGCACACACGCACGCACGCACACACACGTAAGCGCACATGCACGCACACTCATGCACGCACACATGCATATATACAACTACAGACTCCCACGTATAGACGTACGCACGCACACATGCCCGCACACACACACACAGACACACGCACGCACGCACACACATGTACACGCAAACACGCACAGACACACGCACTCATGCACGCACGCGCGCGTGGGCTCGCGTGCACATACTGCTGCCCATGCCCATGCACGCACACACGCACATATATATCTGGTTCGCATTGCTCCGACTGAATTACCTGTAATCGGGCTGCGGGTCTCCGCTCGCTCTACAGTGCAATATCTTTGTACTGCCTTCCGGAACAATGCCACCTGTTGGCTGTATCTGGAACTGTGGTGGTGCTTCTGAAGAAAACAAGATGCGCGTGTATAGGACCTGTCACTGGTAAATGCAGCACATCACACTATATACGATTGACTGCGACACTACGTACTATTGCCACCGGCTCTATGTCCCTGTCTCGCCCTCCCTCCCTCTCTCTCTCTCTCTCTCTCTCTCTCTCTCTCTCTCTCTCTCTCTCTCTCTCTCTCTCTCTCTC